TCCTGACTTTGCATTTAACATTGTTGCTACAGTCCTAAAATATGGTAGAGAGAGAGTACTCTTCTTTGAACATACTAGGATTTATGTTTGAGTTAACATGTACAGTATAGCTACCTTTAATAACTTGACACTGTTAGACTATGCTGACCAACTTAGGCTACTGATTTGGTCTATTGAAAATAATTATTGGCAAAGTCAAGCCCTACGAGAAGCAGTTTAGGGAGCTTGGTAGGTTTCGCTTGGAGAAAAGAAGACTGAGAGAGGACACGATAGCCATGTGCAAATATTGGAAAATATGTCACATTGATGAGGGAACAATATTGTTTTCTGCCAGTATGGAGATGAGGGGACAGAGGATTGGAGACTAGGAGATGTAGCAATGGATTCAAACTGCAGGAAGAGAAATTCCACCGAAACATTAGTAAGAACTTCCTGACGATAGGAGCTGTATGGCAGTGGAATATGCTACTTCAGAATGCAGCAGAGTCTCCTTCTGTGGAGGTTTTTAAGCAGAGGCTGGATGGCCATTTGTCAGGAGTGCTTTCATTGTGCTTTTCCTGCATGGCAGGAAGTTGGCCCTTGTGGTTTCTTCCAACTCTGTGAATCTATGATTCTATGAAATGAATGGCACTGCACCTACACATGCACAGTTTGCCTATTTCATTGTACATATTCCTCTAAGTCTAAATCAACAAGGAAGGGAAATGTTGCTAAATGTTTGTTATTTTGGATGAATGTTTCTCCATAGCTGTTCTCGGTTTCCTACTCTAGAATAGAAGGTTGTCTGTGCATTTGGGGCATGTAGCATTTTTGTTTAATATTTTGCAGACTTTTGGACCACAGTGCACTCTGAACTAAAAAGCAATATTTTTGCTGACCTTGTTGGAAGACTAATGCTGTTTCTGGGAAGCAAATGAAACAAGCAGTTCTTTGTTGGCAGGAGCAAAAGTTGGGGGGAGAGACAGTCCCACTCCTTTTTCACAATGTCGTGACTAAGTCAGAAGTATAATGTGACTACGTTTCTTTCCTACCTCTGTAGACATATGTTTTTCATCAGACTGCTCTGCTTGATACTTGATGATGGCCAGTTTGCAGTGAACTAGACATAGGATGGATGTTTTTAACCCACAACTGTACTTAGATTCTGCTGATATTGATTTTTTAAAACTGCAACCCCCTATGTCATAAACAATTAGCACCTGTGTTGATTTGTGTCCTTCATTTGTATCATCTATTTCTCTCTATATAAAATGGCCTCTGGAGCACATCACACTTCCATTTCTTAATCACATTGTTATGAATCATGAAAAAAATATTCTACTCATGTGCATGAAATAAAATTTGTATACATTGAACCGTAATATGTCATTATCTCAGCCACCCATGAGAACAACTTTGTATTTTGGAGCCTTTCAGATTTCTGGATAAGAGATTCGCAACCTGTAGTTCCTGATTGTCAACCCTGCATCTCATAAATTTCAATTGTGCCTTATTGCTATTTTGAAAGTCTGGCAAAAAAGGAACTTTTCCAGACTCTGCACACTTAGGTCCTAGGTTTTTAAAGAATTTATACATCAATACCAGTTTGAGCACAGCTTTGAACTTTGTTCCTCCACTCAGCTTTTTTTTTCCTTCTAAGGGAATTCTTAAAGGAATTCTCATGCCATGTAGGGAAGTACAGATTTCTCTGTCTCTCAAACTAGATCCAAGTTTAACCACAAAATTGGTTGTTTTATTCTAGAGACAGAAGGCACTAGACCAATAGCCTTCTGTTCAGAATGCTGATTTTGATTATACCCAACAAACCTCCCATGATTAGGACAATAGGCACATAGAGAAATATATTTCTACATATTATTTCAGGGCCCAAGTTGCAATTCAATTTCATTTCTTTCCTTTTTGCAGTGGTTCTCAACCTTCCTAATGCCGCGACCCCATAATACCATTCCTCATGTTGTGGTGACCCTCAAACCATAAAATTATTTTTGATGCTACTTCATAACTGTAATTTTGCTACTGTTATGAATCATAATGTAAATATCTGATATGCAGGATGTATTTTCATTCACTGGACCAAATTTGGCACAAATATCCGATATGTCCAAATTTGAATACTGATGGGTTTGGGGGAAATTGATTTTGTCATTTGGGAGTTGTAGTTGCTGGGATTTATAGTTCACCTACAATCAGAGAGCATTCTGAACTCCACCAATGATGGAATGAAACCAAACTTGGCACACAGAACTCCCATGACCACCATAAAATACTGGAAGGGTTTGGTAGGCATTGACCTGGAGTTTTGGAGTTGTAGCTCACCTTCATCCACAGAGCATTGTGGACTCGAACAATGATGGATCTGGACCAAACTTGGCATGAATACTCAATATGTCCAAATGTGAACACTGGTGCAGTTTGGGGAAAATAAACCTTAACTTTGGGAGTTCTAGTTGCTGGGATTAATAGTTCACCTACAATCAAAGAGCATTCTAAACACCACCATCAATAGAATTGGGCCAAACTTCCCACACAGAAACCCCCATGACCAACATAAAATAGTGTGTTTTCTGGTGGTCTTTGGCAACCCCTTTGACACCCCCTCGTGACCCCCCCCCCCCGGGGTCTCAATGCCCAGGCTGAGAAATGTTGCCCTATTGGCTAATTGTGTTTTCAACTTGGGGAGGTCATTGAGCTTTAATAAAATGTTACTTCTCCTCCTCTGTGCTTCGATTATGGTGCATCATTCCTCTTACTATTTTTAAAAGACTTAAACTCAATTCTAAACCCATTATTGGATCTTTGATAGATTTAAGGAGGCAAGTCTACAGCTGGTGCAACACATGTCTTTGGGGACTTTGGAAATGGGGGCAAATAACAGAAATGCTGACATGGCTGAAACATAATTGGTATAATACATCAGCCGTTTATAAAATACACCATTTCAGCAATCTGTAATTCACATAATATAATCACAGACTGCAAGATTTCCACTGGGAAGGGAATGATGGGAGAAAGGCACTCTTTGTTCAAATGGTATATGCAGATTGTTCAGGGGAAAATTGGCAAGACCCCAACTTCAGAGCTTTCATTGCCCTTTCCTTTGAAAAACTTACTTATGAATGTGCAGTAGATTTGGATTAACTTCCTTGTTCTAATTCCTTTAGTTATTTTACCTACCTTGATATGTGAACTATAAATGTTTAAATAAAAGGGCTGAAAAGTTATCCGATTTCATTTATCACAGCCCCTATCCATCCTGACCATTTAATGCAGTTCGAACCTAGCTTTAAACTGCAGCAAGTAGACAACAAACTCCTGCAAAAGAAAACTATTTAGGCACCTCAGTGCTCCATGGTTCGTGTGAGTACTGTTCAGTGGTCTTAAACTGGTTCAGGGATTTCCTATATAATCACCTGCACAGTGAATTATTTCTTCAATACTGGTTTGAAACTGTATTAAATCGTCAGTGTAGATGGGTCGTAAGGTAATGACATACCTTATGACCTATCAGTATAAAGGTAAGGCTTACCAAATTGAAAACAAAAATATGTAGAGGGCTTCTGCACCTCTAATAGTTGTGAAAAGGGGGGATTTTGGCAGGTGTTGCGTATCATTCTTCTACACAACTACTATTTTCACTGCAGTTGGCCTTCCATATTCATAGATTTTGCAGCCATATATTCAATTAGCACCAACTAGGAAATGGTTTTTTTTCAATTCAAAAAAAGCAAACGTTGATTTTGCCATTTTATATAAGGGATACCATTTTACTGTGTCATTGCTCTTAATGGGAGTGGAACATCCATGGATTATGGCATCCAAAGGGGGACCTGGACCCTAAGCATAGGTGATACCTATAAGTTTATTGTATAGCAACCGTATTGGTTCTCATTCTTTTTTCAAATCTCTAAGGCCAAAGTTGCACCTCCTACTCTAAATTTTTGCAGTTTGTCCTCCATGCTTGCTGTGCCTCTTTTTGGTTGATTATTCTTGCACTAGCTTGGGTATGAGACATTTTCTGAGACATCTGTTAGGGACCACTATCACTTGTAATTAATGCAACCTGAAGAAGGATTCCCCGAAACAAGGACATTGTACCTGGGATTACTTGTTGTGTTATGTATATATACCAGACATTTGAACTTTTCTCCTTTTGGTATTTGTGTAGGTTATATTTCATGAGTTACAGTATAATAATAAGTTAGTATCCAATTGGGGCTGTAAAGAAAAACTAAAAATTGTTTGTGAATTGTTTATTTTTATTGATACCATTTTTGTAATACTACCATTACTGGGCCTCTTTTCAGTGGTGGTGTGGGATTCACTATGAATGATGCTTACAATGCCCCTAGGATAACAACACTCTGGAAAATTGTTAAATAAGTTGATGGTTCAATACTCTAAAGGAAACCTAGCAGGGTCAGTCCTGGCTAGTACTTGGATGGAAGACTGCCATCAAATACCAGGTGCTGTGGGATATATTTTAAAGGAATGAGCTGGGGAAAAACCCCTCAGAGAATTCCTTGCCTAAGAAAATCCTCTGAAATGTATAAGATTGCACAAGTCAACAGATAACCTGAAGGCATATTCATATATCCGCATGCTTGGCAGTCATCAGAGAGAGCATTTCTCCCACTGACCACCCGTCTGGTGTACCATGCACTGGGTTATCAGCATCAGAGGGGCCTTCCAGGAGAAACTTTTCTGATGGATCCTGAAGCTTTTTCTTTGTTTAATCCATGGACTAGCAAGATGCAGGATGGAATTTAGGAGACCTTTAAATAAGCGAATTTCTGAAGTGCTTGAGTTACATGTGTTCTGCTTCTATTATATTAATGTATTTTATGAATCTCTAAATTTTTAATCTATGCGTGTGCATCTATGGATTTTGTTTTTCCACAAGTCATCCTTAGAACAATTGTTATAGGCTTATTAACTCATCAGATGAATGGCTAAATGAATGGATTATTCTTAATAATTTCTAAACTCTAATTTTTCCATAGTGATGAATCACCAGCACCAGCCACAAATGGCACCCACTACAACCATATCCCAGCAGACCCATCCTACTCCAAACCCGCAAGCTGGCTTATTGAACATGCCGAATGCATTGACTTCCCAGCAGCAGCAGCAACAGAAGTTGAGACTTCAAAGGATCCAGATGGAAAGAGAGAGGATTCGCATGCGTCAGGAGGAACTAATGCGCCAGGTATCATAGTATTTTGAGGCACAGATCATTATTATCATAGGTAGCTTAACACTACAACTGGGAAATCCTGAGGTTCTAAAAGACCAGCGTTTAGAGATGAATCTGAGAATCAGGAGAGAAATCTTGTATTTAGATAACACCAGTATGGAGAAAATAGAACCAAAAAAATATATGTAGTAATAATATCTGCATTAGAGCCACGGTGGTGCAGTGGGTTAAACCCTTGTGCCAGCTGGACTGCTGACCCGAAGGTTGGGTTGCTGACCTGAAGGTTGCCGGTTTGAATCTGTGAGATGGGGTGACCTCCTGTCTGTCAGCTCTAGCTTGCAGGGACATGAGAGAAGCCTCCCAGCAGGATGGTAACACATCCGAGCATACCCTGGGCAATGTCTCTGTAGATGGTCAATTCTCTCACATCAGAAGTGACTTGCAGTATGTTCTGACACAATGAAAAAAAATCTCCACATTTATTTTGCTTTTGCTTGTGGCTTATTCTAACATGATCATGAGTTGAAGGTCCTCTCGGTGATGGAAATACTCCCAAGGGCTTGTTCTTGAGTCTGTTTCAGCAGTTTAGGCCATTTTTCACTGAGTTTGAAAAAGTTATATTTGGAAAAAGTATTTCATAGACTACAAGGCCCAAAACCAGTAGCCAGTGTGGACACTAACTATGCCAGTTTGGTTACTCTCAAAACAATAATATTCCCATCTGTGTTTTTGTAGTTTCAAATGTCTTAGATCTTGGTCTTCTAAATTTATCTTTTTCTCATTGTTCAATGATATTGTGCAGTTTTGGACTTTTATTTCTGAATTGAGGTAGTGTTTTTGATCATTTCTTCTAAGACTTACATTGTTCCAATAAGATTTGGTGCTTCCTTTACATGACTTTAAGGAAACACGCACTTGAAACAATTTGCAAAGGATGTTTTTCATACACTAGGGAGTATAGCATATTGATGACATTGTGTTTTGTACAATATATTACCCAGCTTCCTCAGAAAACACAATTAACTGGTTACATTGCAAAACAGTGTGGGAACCATATCCTTCTTTTTGGGAGGTGTTCTTAACACGCTAACCTCTATCATTTATTTACAAACTAGCTAGGAGTATGTTTCATTGTGTCCCACTTCTGAATAGATATGCCTGAGTTGCACTGTAAATTGAGTTACTTATACATACACGCTCCCACGCTCCCACACCACTTCCTTATCATGCTTTTTGCTTTCCATTATAAATAAAGAAGTCTTACAATGCCATTCTACACAAATCTCATATTTAGAAATTCCATTCAATTCACTGCAGCTCAATCGCAAATAGGATTGTAGCATTATTCTGTTGTTCTACACTTATTTCTTTGGGAATAAGTCTTACTGAACTCAAAAGGATGGATTTTAGATCAGGGTGCAAGAAATCTAACATGGGGAAGGAGGCTGGAAACTCATACCTACAGCATCCGTTTGCCTTTGAGGCTTGTGCCTAACCCCTCTTGCTATTCCAGGGTAACATTTGTTTATACTGTATTTAGCAATCCTGTCTCACATTTCTTGGCAGCAGGTTGAAGTATGTTTTCTATTTGTGCAATGACACCAGTTGGCATATCGTTTCTGGAGGTCTATTAATGCCCACTCAAATACACCAGGATGTGGCTGAACTTGGCAGAGCATAAAATAACTGGTGCTTTGAAATCCCCCCCCCCCATCTATTTTTTTATAACGGGTTGGAGATATAGAAGGAGGTTACATGACAAATTCAATTTAAGGCCAGTGGTGAAAGTGATTCTTTGTTATATTGTTTGACATTATTTTAAATTAACATTGTTAGATTCTTCAGTCTGCCATTCTTTGCCTGTAATATTCTAAAAATAGGAGTGCATCTCTTGTCCCTTCACTCTACTATACATAATAATAATAATAATAATAATAATAATAATAATAATATACATAACACATTCCCAGATGCTTGGGAAGTTTTCGACTTGTGATCTTTTGATACGAAATCCAGCATATATATCTCATTTGCTGTGACATACTGTGTTTTTGTGTCAATAATAATAATAATAATAATACTACACTTTATTCCGCTTTATCTCCCTGAAGGGACTCAGAGCGGATTACAGTACACTTATAAGGCAAACGTTGAGTGCCTTTTACACAGTGAACAATGACATACAATACACAGAGAAGGTAAAGGCCTTCCCCCTTTCATCTCCGACGTCTGGTCAACTCTGGCCATGGGGAGGTGCTCTTGTTCCATTTTCCATGCTGAGGAGCCTCCTGTCCATAGACATCTCCAATCTTTTAGCTGGCATGTCTACATGGGGTACCCTTTAACCTTCATCTATTGGTTTACTCACATTGCATGCTTCTGAACTGCTAGGTTGGCAAAAGCTAGGGCTGATGGTCGGGAGCTCACCTTAACTCACCCTGACTCACAACTTTGAACTGCTAACCACTGTGCTACTGTGGCCCATATGTACCTTAAAATTTGTGTAATATAAGTGGAGATTATAGCAAAAATCATTGGGGGAGAATAATCATTTCTAGTAACATTTTATTGTTATTTTCAATTTCAGTGTTTTTCTCCTGTTCTGATCTGAGCAGACATCATCTTTATCTGATTTAATCCCCCCAATAAGAAAAATAGAGGCTAAGAGTAATAAATCAGGGCTAATTCTCCCTTGATATTTTTTGCCTGTTCCCCAGATTTGTCTACATTTTAACATCATGTCAAACTATTCTCCAAACTTATTCCTGTACATGAAAAGAGGTACAATGATCCCAGGCACTCACATGCCTCCTTTATAAGGAGGCAACTTGAAGCTTATGTGTCTGCTTTTAAAACCCTAGATATCTTTTATGCCTATATCTAAGGGAGAACAAATGGCAAATTAAGTAAAAGCAAATGAAGAAGCTAATTGTTAGCAATTCAAGCCATCCCAGTTCTGCTGCTTAAAATAAGAGCTTGCTGTGCCTAATAGCAGGGCCAACCTTGGGTATAACTAATTATGCATGCTAATTTAAAGCAGGATGGGGAAAGTGTGCCTCATGGATCACATATGGCCACCAAGTGCCTTCTCATTGCCTACCCATAATGAAGACCGGGTTGCTATAGGTTTTTTCGGGCTATATGGCCATGGTCTAGACCATGGCCATATAGCCTGAAAAAACCTACAACAACCCAGTGATTCTGGCCATGAAAGCCTTCGACAATACATGATAAAGACCATTCAATCAAATCACTTAATATTCTCTAGTTATTTGTTAATGCTTTTCAATGTATTTGTGTCAAAATAGTAGTCTTTTTGGAACAGAACTGTAAGTATATGGTGTATCCTTCTAAAATATCAAGACACTGACAATGGTTTGTCATGGCACATCACTTTCCACAGGAAAAATACAATCTATTAGATGAATATAAAGCAATTGTTGTAGTCTTCTGTATTTTACTTTTGCAGTCCTGTGCAGATATTTACATAGATCCAAAATCTACTACATTAGGGGTAGGTGGGGAATTTTCCTTCTTGTTATGTTTAACGAAGAGTAATTCAGCAGTGTCCTAAACTTTAGTATCATTAGGTAAAGGATCAAATTATTGCCTGCCCCCAGTGGTGCAATGGGTTAAACCCTTGGGCCGGCAGGACTGAAGACCGACAGATCAGAGGTTCGACTCCGGGGAGAGCACGGATGATCTCCCTCTGTCAGCTCCAGCTCCCCATGACATGAGGATGGTAAAACCTCAAAACATCCCGGCATCCCCTGGGCAATGTACTTGCAGACAGCCAGTTCTCTCACACCAGAAGTGACCTGCAGTTTCTCAAGTCGCTCCTGACACGAAAAATTTTTTGTCTGTACAAGCCTACTTCCAGTAATTCTGTGTCTGATCATTCTGGTCTACCCAGCTCTTTCCATCTATGGTGGAGAGTTCTAAAGCTCAATAGTGGCAAGAAAAAAGTAACCTGGTTTGGAAAGATGGTGCTGTTTGTACCTCTCGATTTCTCTGGCACTGCAGTTGTGCTTGCTAATTTTAGCCAAGAGCAGAGCTTTTGCCATCACCCCCTCAAGGAGTTTAAAAAAGGAATGATGCTGTGATCTTTGGCATGCAGCCTTTAATCAGCAAGAACCTTTATGAACTTCCTCTCAGCAATCTGAGTGGTACCAAAGCTTGAACAGAATGGTAGGGAGTCTGCAGCAACTCCCTCATGGATATCTCTGATGAAACTCTTTCTTTACTGCCCTAAACACTTTTCTTCTTCCTCTATCTCACCACTTTCTATTTAATACAACCTGTTAAAGGGAGGGGAATGCTGAGCAAATATGTGTTCTGGCTGTTAGACAACTGAAAGGAAGTAGAGATGGTTAGGGTGAAAGAAAGTGGAATGTTTTCACCAGATCCTTCTTGGCTAGTATTGGGTTTTCAGTCTGACAACCACAGATATCTGGCGTTCTGAGCAGAAATTTCTGGCTCTACTGCTTCCCAGTCCAGGCAGCAAATGAATACATGGTGCCTTAGTGTTGTCTAGTTAACTAGTGTGATTGTTCCTTTCTTGCTGACACCACCCTTCATTTTTAGAAGGTTGGACAAGGTGAGAGATAAACACCTGAACATTTGCTTTTCAGGTCATGAGATTGCAGTACCATAGCATAACGACCACACCTTGCTCTGGTTAATGGGCACATTGTGGATATTTCTCTTTGTGAATATTTGATTGCAAGATTGTTATTGCAGGCCATGTGAACAGCAAAGATACTAATGAATGAGGAGCCCCTTCACACCATCCTATTATAGTGCTTCAATTTTATGGCTCCTGTGGAATCCTTCGCTTTGTAGACTGGTGATGCATTAGAGCAGAGGTGTCAATCTCATTGTCAGTGAGAGTCACATCAGCTTTCTAGTTGCCTTCTAAGGGCCATTTATAATTGTAAGACTATAAATATAACTACTCTTCAACATATTGCTAAATAACCTGAGACACCATATAGCCAGTACAGTTATGTTGT